AAATTTTTTATTTTATTATTTGTAATTTTTATAATTTTTATTTTTTCAAATAAATCGGCTAAATTAGATTTATTATAAATTTTCAGTGGCCGCTTCTTTCAACAATTATGAATAAAATTGATCAATTAATTTTTTTAAGTAATCGTTTTGTTTTTATTTCTATATTTGTTTTGCTTTTATTTTGCCTTTGTCTAATGCTATTAATATTTGTTTATTTATTGTTTTTTATAAATTTCTTTTGCAAAAATATGAATAAAAGAATTAATCGAAATCATTGTTTGAAATGTCTCATTTAATATTTAAAAATATAATTATAAAATGTTGTTAAGTGTAGCTCTTAAGAAAAATTTTAAATGTGTTGATCTTAAAGCGATTGTTCGATTTCGGTGAATATTGATTTAAGTTTGGATGCCGCAATGAGATGCCACTATCTGTGGCCGTTGCTATGCAACAATCAATTTGATTGGTTCATTTGAAAAGGTGAAGATATTTGGATAGTTTCGATAAATTTTATTCGAAGGGTTTGCGTCAAACGAGAGTGGTCGTCTGATAAAGTGATAAGGGATTGAAGGATGAGTGACCGTAAAGCGGTGATAAAGAATGCTGATATGTCCGAGGATATGCAGCAGGATGCGATTGATTGTGCCACACAAGCGCTTGAAAAGTTCGTTTTTTCTTATTCCCGCGTTTTTTCTGGATTTTTCCGGATTTTGTTCGTTCCGATCCGGTTTGTCATTTTTTATCATTTTTATTAATTATTAATTATGTTGTTCTCGGATGCTATTTGCAAAGTTCTTATTGTTTTTTAAAATTGTCCATTTTCTTATTTCTTTTTCTATGAGCGCTCGCCTTTGCTAGTGCAGCTCGCATCGACCCGCCTAACTTGTCGGACCGAACAAATTTCACTGCCTTGGCAGTGCGATAGGTTTCTATTGGGTAGTGGCGTTCTGAAACGGCAGTAGCAACTCATTGAGGTATTCGGCATCCTCAAGCTTGCATAGATTCTGATTTCATTGTGATTTCTATGTTCGTCAGATTTGAGTTTTTTCTTTTTGATTTATATTTTAATAAAATTTGTACATTTTACAGATATAATATCGAGAAAGATATTGCTGCATTTATAAAGAAAGAATTCGATAAGAAATACAATCCGACTTGGCATTGTATCGTTGGACGTAATTTTGGTTCATATGTGACACATGAAACAAAGCATTTTATTTATTTTTATCTCGGACAAGTTGCGATTCTCCTTTTTAAAAGTGGTTGATAATTATTTAAAAAACTTTTTTGTTATTGTTTTTTTTTGCTATTTTTTCTCTACTAGATTATTTTTCTCTGGAAAGAAAAGTGTTTTTTGGAATTTTTTCGCATTATTTGTCGATTAAGCATTAAAATATGCTTCGATAAGATTTAAAATTGAATTTATTCGAATAGAATGATGCAACGGCTTATTAGCATCGAATATTAGATGACCTTCGACCTCTATATAGCGTTCTTTCGAAATTCGCCATTTCTGATCAATTTTACCATCTCATTGAGTATCATTCGCCACAGAAGTATTTGATGATGGCAACATTGTAGATAAACCTCCACTAGTCATATGAATTTTACTGAAAATTTGGGTTTCATTGTTTTATCTTTTTATTCATTAAAAATAACTGAAAATGGCATCAAACTTATTGAGTACATCATAAGTATTATTCGAATAAAATTCAAGTGAAATAACTGTTTGCTGTTATTTTTTATGGTCAAGAATTATACCAAAATTTATTGATTTAGTGAAATTATTGGTTTTTTTTATAAATTAAAAGTTTTAAATTTAATTTCTAATAAAGATAAATAAATATTTAAGAACAGATTCAAGTGGATGTATACATTCTATGGGAATACTTTATTAGTTTTTTAAAAAAAAGATCCTAAGATTTAGCAATGAAAACAGTTTGATTCTTTAGGCTGTTGTTAATGATGTTAAGAGATTTAGCAAAGCGCAAATAACCTGGAAATATGAATAAATGTTCCCAGCCAGGAGACCTACCTCACCTAAGGGAAGAGAGACCTGGATGACCAAAATTGATTAGCCAAGGCGTCGTGATTTCGAGAAAATTCCGGAAGGAGATTCATTTAAAATGGAGTGTGGCGAGATTGAAAATTAGTTGCTATTGCTAGTCGGCAGATTTCTTGTCAGCCGATTCAGTATTAATTTTACTCTGATTCTCTTCAATTTCCATTATCTTTTATCTTCTCGTGGGAAGCTGCTATATGCGTTATAGTAATTAACGACGCTAAGCGCTTGAAACGCGTTTAGTTGATATATGGTTGCATTGCGAGTTTATGCATTAAGGTTTTTTTATTGTGTTCTTTGATGGAGGTTGGGAGTGGTAGAGTCGGGAGAGGGGTGGCGGGGAGGGAGTGTGGGGGGAGGGGATTGGAAGGTCAGAGGTGAAGCATTTGCTTTTTTGTACTTTTAAGCTTTTATAGGAGAAAAATTGCGATGAAAATCTTGTTTTATCAATAATTTATAAGTATTTTATTTTACTAGCCTTTCTTCAATTATATTACTTTAGTCAGACTTTAATCAGATTATTTTTAGCGTCGCTAAAATCAATACAAACCTAATATATTTTTAGTTTATTATTGTTAAATTCTTTATTGATTGGCTTGGAAATATAAATTTAGGTTTATAAATGATTTTTTTGACTAATATGTTATTTACTGGATGATAATGTGGCACTTTTTTTTCGTACTTTACTAGTACCACTCTCAGTTTTACTTCTGTAAAGCAATGAATACTAATAGGACAAATGCGCTTCGCATTCGTTTTCTGCTATATATAAATTTTACTAACATTCATAATTCTTTCTTTCGCAGAAAGCCGTAAAGTTATTGAGAGGACCTTTAGAATGATATTTAGTTGCTACAAATATTTGTGGGATTTTCTTTTATGAAAATTTCTTTGCAGAAAGAAATTTGAATAATCGAAAATGGCAACTGCAGCTGTTATTCATCCTCTTATTCAGTGGGCACAACGAGAGAAATGTCTTTATTTAACAGTGGAAATTGATAAAATAAACGAATTAAACGTCACTGAGAAATCGATTAAAGTCAAGTAAGTTTTATAAAAATTTTATAATTTTACGAATAATTTTTATTTTTTCAATAATTTAATAATTTTTTTAAAATTGATTTATTTTAAATTTTACTGAATTTTTTGCGTTTTTATTTATTTAATTTAGGGGTCATTATGGTGATAATAAAACACTTTATGAAGCAGTCGTTGATTTATATGCAAATATAAATCCCGAATATCGAAAGATTGATAATAATCGCCATCTAGAATTGGTTATTCAAAAAACCGAACCAGCATGGTGGCCGCGTCTTTTGGAAAAACAAATTAAAGTTTATATTTTCTTTTTTTTATAGATTTTTCTTTGAAATTTGAGAGCAAATACAATAGAAATGTTTTTTGAAAAAAAAATTTTCGATAGAACATTTAGCAATTATATATGATATTATGCTGTTTTTTATGGTAAATTTTTTTTTCATTTTCTAAGATAAATTTAGTTCGTATTGGTGAAATTGATTTTAAATTATTTGAAAGATCGCGATTCGGGCTTTTTTTAAATAAAATTTTAGATTAATAAATTGGATTCATAAATATTATATTATTGAATAGTTATTGCGAAAGATGGTTCAGATCTGTAAAAGAATTTAATTTAATTTATTTTGAGATTTCGAAATTTCGAGATTTCTGATATGGTGGGTTATTAGCCAAAGTTTGAAGGGTTTCTTTTGCAATACGTTTTTTATGTTTGAGGTACCATGGGTAAAAGTGGATTTCAATAAATGGGTGGATGAAGATGAAGAAGCTGACGATGGTGGTGATATGGACTTTAGCAAATTTATGTCTGGTTATGGAGGCGATAATGATGAAGTACCCAATCTGGATGATATGGATAGTGGTAGTGAAGATGACGACGCTGGTATGATATCGATTTGAAATGTTTTAGAATATATTTTTGAAGGGATTCGGAAAATTTACAAAAAAAATAAAAAGTTTCAGTTATTTTGGTCGTGATTTACGATTATACCATTGTTCAAATTTCATAATTGAAAAAATCAAAATATTAATCATGGAAAAATTTTAGATATGCCTGATCTTGAAGATGTTAAAGAGGAGGATGCAACAGCAAAAAGTGATCATGACACTAAGCAAACAGATGATGAGCCGAAAAAAGTAGAGAATGTTGGTGATAGCACTTGAAAAATATATTAATGAATTTGATTTAAAATGATTTTATTGTGTTATCTGTTTTTGTTTTTGCAATTTTTTTGTTTTGAATTATTGTGCAAAAGTTGAAGGATCGAATCATTTCGATCCATAGGTGATGACGAAAATTCAATTTATGAAAATGCATTCTATATAAATTTAAAGAAAGATTAATGCGTGGAATTTTACGAAAAGATTGGAAATTGAATGGAAAAGTTAAAATAAGCTGGTACATTTTTTTGGCATTAAAGATTGATAAATTTCATTGCTTCACCCGTTCGTAATATTTTTTTGCCAATTTTGATATTCAACCTTTTATTTGTTTACTTATTTGTATTTGAAGTGTTCCAAACTTGGTGCCACCGAACCGTTTTTGTACAGTGGTATTATAGGATTTGGTATGAAGTGCTAGAATGATGGTCTTTGTGGCCGGGGCTGAGGTTTGGTATCTGCTATTTGTCGGCTCTCGGCCGAGGTGGAATTTTTGCGTTGCAATTTGTGTAGTGTTTTTGGCCATTGATAAAAGTGGTCGTTCTTGCTTGTCAGGAGTTCTGTTGTTCGTCGATTTGTTTCGATAGAAATATTTAATTAATATCAGTTAATTAATTAATATCTCAAAATTTTCTAATCGTTTTAAAGGAAAAAATGGGAAGGAAAGGTTGGGAGAGGAAAGAGGGAGAGAAGGAAGAGGAGAAAGAGAAAAGGAAAAGGGGGAAGGGAGCGGTGAGGGTGTGGATGTTGGTGAAATTTGGGAATGCGCATAGAGTCCTCACCGCTATTGTCATCATTTATGTGAGAAGGATGTTGAGCATATTTGGAAGGTTTTAGGCTCAGAAATTTTCAAAAGAATGATAGATTTCAAAATATATTTTAAATTTTGGGAAGTTTTTTCGGTAGTATTTTAAAAATTTTATCTCTGAAATTTTTCATTATCAATGAATTATTCAATTGGGCTTACAATGAATTGGATTACAATGCTAAGTCTGATTCTAAGTCTTTTTTTCTTTAAAAAGCGTTAATTTTATGATTTTTGCTCGCATTGCACTGATTTGTTGGATCTGCACTGGTCTATTGGACCAAACAATTTGTTAGGCATTCATATGGTGATAAAGTGGGGATATAATGGCTCGGTGGATTGTTGCTGGATTCGGAGCGCCCATGCTGAGGTTCGATTCTCCGCAAGAGTAAACTTGTGCAAAAATGTGGATGATGTTGACGACCCATTTGCACTTCTTTTGCCAAGGCATATATGTCTGACGCGATGCGACAAGCCAGCGGAGCGAACTTAACCTGTAATGTTGAGGGCTCTTAAAAAGGAAAAGAAATGGTGATAAATGTATGGAGTGAATGGCGCGGATTTTTGAAAGATTGATTTTGTTTTTACCGGGAGAAGTACTTCTTATCAGCAATCAAAGCCATTTTATCTTTCGAATTCTAGTATAGTTCTATTGAGAGTTTAAAGTGGGACCTTGATACACGTTGTTATTTTTATCATTTTGAAGTAATTTTTCTTTTTTCTAATTTTTTTCTTTTTTTCTGTTTGATTCGATTATTGGCAAGTCGATGCGGTTTTTGTTTCTCGGCATTTGTCGAAAATTTTTAAATTTGCACGATCGCAACGGGCGATAACAAAGCATATTTTAGTTTTTTCAATTTTTTATTTTGGATTTTTAATAAATTTTGGTGCGGTGGATTTTGCGATATTGCATAGGTAAATTTATTGAGTAAAATATTAAAATATTATTTGCGTTTTCAAATTTTCATTAAAGTATTTTAGGAAGATTTTTTAGAATTTCAAATAATTTTTTGTTAAGAAACATGTCGATTTTGTTTCTTTTGAGCTTAAAATGTTTGAAATTCGGCTAAATTTTTAGCGTACAATTACGATTGTAGTCAAAAATGTCGAATATGGTCGATTCCACGAAGAATACAAATAGCAGTCATAAGAAGAGTTATGATGTAACTGATTTATTCCTTTTTCATAAGGAATCGATCGGAAATTGGGCCGCTGAAGTTCCATTAACCTCTGTTACCCAGGTTTTTTTTTAGTATCTGCGGAATTTATTTTTATTGAGTTTTCTTTTTAAAACTTTATTCGTTAAAAATAAATGCTTTTAAGGAAATAGCGGTAAATGATAATGATAGTAACAAAGATCATTCGAACGTTCATCGAGAGACTTCTGTCGATCATTCAACTACCGTGTGTAATGAATCGCGACACTATGAATTGCGCGTCTCCAATATTAATTTTTCATCAACTAGTGAAGATTTGTTTTATTTTTTTGGTGGTGATTCTTCGGTTTGTTTTATTTTATTTTTCGGTTTTTTTTTCACTTACGCTTTGATTTTTAAATTATTATAAATATTATAAATGTTAGAGATTACAAATTTTTTTTTTTTTATAATGTGAAGAATCTGCAATACTTTAGTGGTTTTAAAAATTATTACATCTTTATTTTATAGGTTGCGGAGGTTCATTTGCATAAAAATAAGGAAACGGGTTTAAATAGTGGCATTGCGAATATAATATTCAAAGACGATGAAGCTATGGAGCACGGTTTTAAATTAAATGGAGTTGTTAGCTTCTTTTTTAAATGATTAATTAATGGAAAGATTTTGGAAATTATTATTGTTTATTATTATTATTTAGTATTTCTAATATGAAACATGAAGGGCAATTATTTTTGGAACAATTTAATAATAATCGAGTTATTTCGTGCATATATAATTGATGATTATTTTTTCTTAAAAATCATTTGTAATGACAAATTTTATAATTTTTTTTATTTATTAATTATTCATTTATTTAAAATTTATTAGTTTTTTTTTGAGACAATGAATGGTCGACCTCTTCGAGTTTCTCGAGTCCAGTATAATCAAAATCGAACCAGATATGATAGTCGTGGAAGCTATTCTGAAAATTATAATGCACCTCGAAATAATGACTGGTATTCAACCTATCCAGGAAGGAGATCGAATAATAAATTTAATGCTGGTCGATCTATCTCAGATAAGCTAAATCAGCAACAAGGATTCCATAAGAATGAGAATTTCAGTAGTTATGCACCTCGATCTAATCGGGAAAATTACAAGAAACCGAATAGTGCATATGTGAATACTCCACGATATAATTATTATGTAAATTATTTTCTTGGAAACAATAATCATTTATTTATAGATTTATTTTATTGATTTTCACCATTTATATTTTCAGTTAAAATTTCATTTAATTGCAGATTTGATTAGAATTTGTTTAGAATTTTGTCAAATGTACTACGAGTTATTGTATCATTTTTGAGCCATTTAATTATGCTTTTTTAGAGCCAAGGTTATTACCATTTAAATCCATCACAAACTTCATATAATGGGAACAGGCGTTTACCGTTCAACAATAGCAGAGATGATTTTAAACAGCGATCAGAAAGTGGGAATGAGAACTCGAAGAAGTAATTTTGAATTTTTTTTTAATAAATTAATTGATTTTGGTTGTAGTAAAATCCCATTCTATATGCGCAATCGTCTCCAGACCTAAGTATGTTGCTTTTTTTTCAAAATTCTTTTTATTCCCTTAATTAATCTTCATATTACCCTTATCGTATTGCCCTTTAAAATTTCTCGTCCTCCGCCGTTCCGATTTTTATTCTTCTCGTTTTCATTCATTATCTTTATGTTGATCTCTTTATGCTTGTATAACCTTGTTATTTGTGGCTGAAGCAATAGGAAAAATTATGCTGAAACTATCGTGTTGTTTAAAGACTATTAGAAAGGGATTTAAGAGAATATTGCCAGCGGATTGTAGCAAAATAGATATTGAATTGAGTTTTAAAAAGTTTATATGAAAGGGGCTTCAAAACAGTTCTATAGACTGTATAGTATAGTTTCAATAGACGTGCACAATGGGTATCTGTTCGTATGTTTTTCTGGTTCTGTTCTTTCTTCTCTTCTACTCGACCTCATACTAATCAACCATCTTGTTACATAGATTTTTTTTGGATAAATTTTATTGATGATAGTTCTATCAGTCCTAGAGTGCTACCAGAGCGTAGTGAAAGGCCAAAATTGAACCTGGAGCGTCGAACCAAACCACTAGATTCTGCAAATGAACTTCCTGCTCGTCCCAAAAGCATTTTTGGTGATGCGAAACCTATAGATACATCGGAAATGGAAAGAAGGGTAAAAATAATTTTGCAGTTTTAGAATTCATTTACTATAAAAAATTGTTTCGGAAATGTGAACATGTTAAAATTTCAGGCTGAAGAACTTTTACGATTGGAAGATGAAGCGTTAAGAAAAAAGGATTCGACATCGAGCAAGGTTCTTGGATTTTAAGACATTGCTATTTTTTATTTTTATTGAATTTGCTGCGTAAAAGATGTGGAAAACAATTTCATGTTGGTTTAGTGGCAAGTTAAATGCAATCGATAATCGAGAATGGATTAGGCCAGTGCATCATATTTCTAGCTCCGAACGGCGAAACCAAAGTGTTTAGAATAGCTCAGTGGTTTTGCTTAATTCGAAATGCAGATTTTAGTTTTAATGGTAGAAAAAAATCCCTTCAGAAATTCTTCGAAATTTATACTGGCATCTCACCAATACTTCTGTCGTTTCCTTAGCAAAATTTATCTGGACAATTCAGCTGAGCGAGTGTAACCAGCAATAATGAGAGTTCTTTAAAAAAATTTTTTTTGTTGCAAATTTTGAAAAATTTATTTAATGCAATGAAATTTTGCAATTTGACAGGTTGGTACGGCCCATCGAACTGAAATGATTTTTACTGCAAAATCATTCCATGATTCTCGAAATACATTAGTGAAACAAGCTTCAGCTACAGAAGTTTCTTGCTCCTTACCACAAACAATCTACGGAAAATATTCAAAGCGGACTATGTCTCAGCCCCTCATAGAATATTCTGTTGTTGAAATAGAAACGTCCACTGTCCTTCCTCCTCTTTCTGAAGCGCAACCTGCTATCTTATCTTTTCCTAATACTTCACATTCCATTGATCAAACTAGACCTATCTCTGAGTGTAAGCTGGTTTCATCCGAAACAGATCCGTTATCGTCAACCACTTCCGCCTTTAAATATCCCTTGCCTTCTATCGCTACTTCTTCTTCAGTCGAAAATATGGTAATGTTTTATCTGTTTTGTAAATGAAATCCATTAAGCAAAAAGTTCAATACCAGTTAAAAATTAATTAATGTAAAGGTTAGTATCCATTATCGTCAGCGACTTTCCCCTTTAAATATTAGTGTAGTGGCGGTAGATAGATGAAGAGAAGAAAATAAGTGGACAAAACAATAAATGAAATGATCACATGGAAAGCTCGAGTGTAAATTTATCTTATATTGACATAGGAAATGGAACATAGAAATCGAACCTCCATTCTTGTGGGAATTCGTGAAGATTTGAATTTGGGAGTTTTTTCGTGGCTATGGTTATTATTGCATTGTTTTTTGTTCACTTTTGGAATACACTGAATAACTAAATTTTTTAATCATAATCTTCTAATGTAGAAAGAATTTATTTATGAAAATTTCTGAGGTTTTTTTAGCATTCCGGTAAAACATCATCAGCTACGTTGCCCCGCGCTGGTAAAAGTTATCGAACATTTACTCGTTCTCGTGATTCAAATCGGTCTTCGATGGATCAGAGCATGAGTACTTGTCGAGGTATTTATTCATTCGGAAATTTGTGATTGGTAAGCACCTCAGGTGATTAACAATTAATAACTAGCTATTCATTAGTAACATTCCTAGAAGGCGAGTATGGAAGTAACGTGCGTCATACTGGACGTGGTGGACGTATCTTACATGTCCCTTGTCGGAATAAACGACATGAGAACGATGTCCAGAAAGTACTAAATGAAAGTTCATCCACAGGCCATCAAGAAAAGACGATTAGAAAAAAAGCTGCGAAAGAAAACTCACAAAAATTGCCAACAAGAGAAAAAGAAAAGGAAAAAAAGAAGGTAGGTTTTTTTGTAAATTAATATTACAGTTTTTTTGAATTGCAAAATCATATTTTATTTTTTTTACGTTCGCTGTTTTAACAGTGAGGAAAAAGAGATTATTGGCTGCAGACGTAACCAAGTCAAATTTCAGGACACCATGCCGAAATTTGTTGAACCACCACCTATTAATTTTTCATCTAAAAATAAATTCGCTTATTTACAAGAAACGGACGAATGAAATTTATTATGTTTAGTTATTTTTATTTGATTAAGGAATGGATTTCGGGATTTATTTGCATTCAAATTTAGGAATGTTTCATTCAAATTTTTTGACAAATCTTTTTCTGTTTTCACAGAGTTTCATTCAATTTTAATAAATTTTAACCTATTATTTAATTATGAAAAGGGTTCATCTATTTGTAGATAGCGTCAGATTTTACTATTCCTTTCCTTTCCTTTCAAGGTTTTTTTCTTTTTTTCGTCGGATATTGTTGTAAGATTTATTTATTTAACCATGAAGATATTTTTATTTGTCACTGAATCGAAAGCAATCTCAGATTTATCATTCTTATTTATTATAAAAGTTGCAAGGATAGCAGTAGAAAAAATTATTATGGAATTTAGAATTGAATAATATCTTTCTATTGTTCATTGAACCATCAAAATTGAGTGAAATATTAAAATTATAAAATTTAGATGTGAAATCATGTGTTATCATTTAAGTGAACTATATTTTAGTTAGAAAATAGTCTGCAAAATTCAAGTTTTCGGTTTTTTTTTTCTTGCAAAGCACTTATTTATATGCACAGTTGTTGACACAGTTGTGATATATTATTCATATATTTAGTTTTGTAAAGTATAACCTATTTTCGTTTTGTATTAAAATTGTATCTGTATCTTTTTGTCAATTGAATTATTATTGTTGTTTATTGTATAATTTTTTCTTACTCAGGTTGGGGCTTTTTGTTTTTATGAAAATTAACATCGAAAAAAAGAAAGTCTCGAAGCGCAATTATAAGATTTTTTGCTTTTTTTCGAAATTTTTTTGCATTACTATAAGAGAAAAAAAAATTATTGTGAAGCGCCGCTGAGATATCTTTAAAATTAAAAGGCCTTTATTCTATGTTGTGTTTATATCATATTTTTGCCCGATTTTTGTTGTTAATAATTATAATTTCTAATTTATTCAATATTTTTTTTTTCTTTTTTCATTCAATGTTTATTAGTTAATCGTTTTTTTGAGTGGTTTATTTCATATTATATTTTATATTGTAAATTTAAATTCAATTTTTTTCATATAATTTAATCGGTTTTCTAACATTTCAAAGTCAGAAATAAAAAGTAAAAATAAAGTTTTATATTTAAATAAATATTTTTACAAAAAAAAAAGAGGAACCACTCAAATTGAATTATGAAAAATTATGTCGTTAAATTTGTATTGAATTCGTCATGGTGCTGTCATTTGTATATAAAATTGTTTTGATTTATTTCATGCAAATCTTCTAGGCAATTAATTTCTAAAATTAAAATAAATGAACAGAATGAAAGTGAATTAGTTTTTATTATAAATGTAAGAATACTTTTGGAGAAAAAAAGAGGAAAAAAGGAATTAGGGAAAGGAAAAAGGAAAAGGAAAAAATTGCGAATATATTTTCAATATATATGCCTATTATCGCATAAATTAGTTAAGTTTGTTTTGAATCCCTAACGAAGAATTTTGGTTTTTGGTTGACTATTCGATTTTATAAAAGTGTCACCAAACGATATGTCATTCGTCGTTCATTTCATAAAAGAATTTTTTTTTTAAAAAAAAAACCTTTTAATAAACGAATTTGTTGTTCAATTTTATATAATATTGAATTGCGACATTCGAATTCGTGAATTCTTTCATAAATAGTTTTTTTTCTATGTAAAATCTGAAAAATAAATTTTCAATGGAGAGAGAATTTATAAATTTTTAATGAAAATTTTTTTCGTTGAATGAGCAGTAATAGAATGCGGAAAGAACGGAAAGAACGGCTTCATGGAGATGTTCTATAGAAAAGCGAAAGATGCCTAATGTTTAGTTCATGCGACGAGAAAACCTTTATTGGATTTCGAGTGGTTCCTTTCCTTAGTCGATTGACTAGTTGAATGAATTAGCGGAATGAAGAATGGATAAGCGTTTATCCGAGAAAGAATAAGGATGATAAGTTCGTCATTAGCTGTAGAATTCTATGTTGGCTATTTAATTCTTCTTATCATTCTCTTATCATTCTTTTAATAATTAACAGTTAACAGTTTATAACTTTTACCGAAGAAAATTATTTATATATATATATATATAAAATGCACTAATTTAAGAAAATTAACATTTGTTTCAGTAGTTTGCCAGAAATATAAATTTAGAAAAAAAATAAAGATGAGCGCGCAGCAGCATAGTCTGGATTTGTTTCATGATAAATTTATGAGAGATAGACATACCTTATCTTTTAGTGATCTTTAATGGAAGATTCTCAATATCACTAATATTACTGATCCAAAGAAATCGTGTATATACTAAGGATTAGTTCAAAGATGATTAATACGTTAATAGGTATTCTAAGCCTGGAATAGCTCAATGGGCTGTAGTTTAGTTCGGAGTTGTTTGATGCTGAAGTTCTACTCATCGAAGGAATAAACCTATTTGAAAATTCCAGGCGGCTCACTTATACATTTGTCGCCATAAGACTCCATAGCGTATTTGTCTAGTACGAGAAGTCAGAGAGAGAATTGACTTTAACCAGTAATGGTGAGTACTCTTTAAAAAAAAAAGGAAACTTTTAAGCCAAAGCCAAATATAATTTAAATGCAATTTACCAAATTTATTCTTTTATAAGAATTAGCATAATTAATAAATAATTACCCAAGTTTGAGGTTCGCAACGAGAAAAGTAAGAAGTAGAACGCTGGCCGCATTTTATAAGATTAATAAGAAATAAAAATCCCGCGTAGCAGGAAAACTAAATCAGAAAACTAAATCAGAAAATCAACTAAATCAGAAAAAGGAGCGGATTCCCAAAAGGAAATTTTGTAAAGGTAGAATATTGGAAGGGGAATCGCCGTGCTCCCAACGAAAATTTCGTACTGCTATAAAATCCTTTTTCTATACATGGTTCTTAATAATAACCTTTTCCTTAAGTGTAGCCAAATCAATTTTTTTATTAATACTTCCCGTAATTAAACGATCGGCAATTTTACAAATAAATTGAGAACGTTTTGTTGCTTCAATATTACACCACGTATTCATTCGTTGTTTCTCCTTTTTCTGTTGAATTTTTTCTCGAAACTATAAAATTAAACTAATAAAAAAATATTTCTAAAAAATTTTTTTATTATTAAGAAATTAAGAATTTTTATTGAAATGGCTCAGTGGGTCATTGCTATAATTTCGGAGTGCTGATATTAGGGTTCTATTCCCATCGGAGCGGATATGTTTTTTCAAAATTGTTCTGGCAAATTCACTCGTACTTCTATCCTCCAAGTATTCAAATTTATCCAGTTCGTCTTCATTTTTTATGGTCATTAAATAATAGCGAAATGTTGACAAATTACAACCAAAAAAAAAAGAAAGAAAAATATGATTCGTGATATTGGAACGTTAAATTGTCAATTCGAATTTGTCATTTTAAAATAAAAAAAGAAAATGAATAAGAAAAGTAGGAAAAAGAAAAAAAAGGGAACCATTTTCATATAAAAATTTCAAAAATTAGCACAAATTAGAATTTTTTAAAAAAATTTTTTAGAAAATAAAAATAATTTCACGAAATAAATAATAAATTAAATTTAAATTTTAAGCTATTCATATTATAAAAAATCACAAAAAATCACTTCAAATGATACTTTTTATTCTAATATTTAATATTTCAAGCAAAAAAAAATTTAGATTAATTTAAATTTTAAAAAAAAGTACCTCTAGTGATGGATTCCATGATTTAAGCCAAAACCATGGAATCCTTATCACGATAAATATTGGTAATGGATCTAAGTTAGGAAAGATCTCGATTTCATACTGTTATCAATGTTATCAACATTATCAGGAGATAAGATAATTAGAAAGTAAGATAGAAAATATTTTTTAAAATATTCGATTGAATTGATTTTAATTAATTTTATTTTAATTAATTTAATTTAATTTAATGAAAAATATTAACCCATTTTTGAATGGTTATAGCAGCTTTATTTCGTCGAGCATTTTCAAATTTTATTTCAATTTCATCATCAATATTTGATAAATTTTTGCTTTTATCAATTTCTTGATCAGTACGAAGATAATCGTAAATATAATTTGCATTTAAATTATAAATCTTTTCATATTTCATTAAAAAATATGATTTAGATCGTTGAATTTCTTCTAATTTTTCGAGTAATTCATCACTCGTTTTAAGAGAAAAGTTTCTTTTTGTATCACTGAAATTTTTACAAAAAATTTATTATTACATTTATCATTAAAATTTAACAGTAAAAAAATTTATTAAAAACATTAATATTAGTAAAATATCTATTAAATTATTTATTAATATTTATTTATTTAAATATTTATTAATAATTAATATAAATAATTATTAAAAAATCATAATTTAATTTTTAAATATAAATATTATTATTATAAAAGCAAAAAATTTGTAATAATTATAATATAATAATAATTATAGTAAAATTTATTAATAATTTAAAAATTAAGAAATAAAAAAAGTATTGGTTATTATAATTGGTTTCTTTATTTACTTTACTCACTTATTGTTAATTTATTAAAACATTAATATTAGTAAAATATCTATTAAATTATTCATTAAATTATTTAAATATTTATTAATAATTAATATTCCGCGGAAAGTCATTTTACTGTCGTTTGAGGCCATATTCACAACCTCGGATTATTTTGGCCTAATGCCTTAGAAACTTTAGAAATTCTTCATATATTACTAATTCTCAATAGCTAAAATCTGGTCATACTTTTCTTACATCCTTCTTGCTCCAATATTTCAAACTCTGTCATGGTACATTCAAAACTGCATTATATTCGATATTTTTATCAATATTTCCTTATATTTATGGTCAATTAACTTGTTATACATCCTTTAAACTCTTAAATTTGGGCAATTTTTATGCTTATAAAAGACAATTAGAAAGCGAATATGTGGTCCGTAGGTTGCAAATTGTGGATCTACTTGGAGCTGTAAAATTACTCTTTTTTTTCCTACAATTGAATGGATAATTT